TGTACAGAACACAAAATCTGATGAGATGGTCCCAGTCAACCTGTCAAACAGAACAGCCGTTAACATCACAGCTGTGGTCACGTAATGTTTTTATAATAATTCAATCGCAAACATAAAGATAGTATCATGTGCAGGTTCTCTGCTGCTATGTAAGACCTCATCCACGAACAGTTTACCAGACCAGGCCTAGTTAATGACAGATCCCAAAAGATGCCATGAACAGGGAAGGCAAAGCTCTGCCTCATATGTAGGATGAGCAAAGTAGCAAGTCTATGAAGGGGATTTTCTTGAGTTTGAGCTGGTCAGCCATCCGAGGAGTTTGGTAGGAGAAATCCTCAAGGAAGTGGGAAAATAGACTAGATGAGCCCTATGCTTTCTTCCAGTTCTAAAATTTCAACGAGGTTATGTAATTCTTACAATAGGACCAACTTAAGGCGGCAAGCTGTGAATTGCAAGACAAAGAGCTTTCCTGTTGATACAAAAGCCAGCAGGCTGCTGAGCTGTGTATAGATAATACATTCGGTACCGACCAGGCCCTCAGAATATTTCAGTTTTTCCCTCCTACCTGGGTAAGAAAATGTAGAGAATCTGGCAAAATACCAGGAATGGCTACCAAAAACAGGGATGTGGGGGGCAGACTGCAGAAAACTTGAAAACACTGGGCTAAGTGGTCAGAAGAAAATCGGAAAGAAATGCTGTAAATTAGACATAGGAAAGTGGATTGCCTGCCTAATGGTGAGTGACTATATTCTGTTTCCCTGGAAGACAGGACATAAGAGAATGCTTTAACTAGAAGGACAAAGGTTTTGGGTGGGACCTGTGAAATAGACTCAGGAAGAGACATCGTGTGGTCTTTTTTCCTACAGTCCCCCTCCCCTCCCCACCCATATGATGGTGGACTGAGACATTTTTGGATTCATTTAAATCCCATGCAGGACAGAGACTTATCAAGGAAAAGTGTCGATCAGCTATGTATTTCTGATTTCATCACTCTCTTCAAGTCAGAACTCACTAGTCCCTTGGCTTCTGAAATACCGGGTTCCTGTTACCCTATTCCTCTATCTTGCTCATGTCCCTCTTGTATCTGTCTTCAACACAGGTGCGGCTCAGGGTTCTCCCTTGGACCTTGTCTTTTACCCCCTCTGGTTGCTACTATGCATGCTCAGTCCAACTCTCATCAATACATTGATAACTTATCATCTGTGATGTGTCCAACTCCATGTAGGATTTCACAGCTGCATGCCCCATGGACATCTCAAATTCAAAACATCCTAAATTCAATTGATTTTCTTTCCTTCTAAGCCTGTTCGTACTCCTTTATTTTGTTTTAGTTGGTGGTCATAGTATTCACGTGCCAACCTGGGAGTCTTTCGTCTTTTAACCCCTTTGTCTCCCTCACCCTCATTCTTTAATCAGTTAGCAAGTCTTACCATTTTTGTCTCCCAATATTGCTGGAAGACGTCTCTTCCTCTCTATTTCCATTATGTTTGCTCTCAATATTTCTTGTCTGGACTACTGAAATGACTTCCTGATTGGTGTCTTTCCCACCTTCCTTCACAACCGTTTGACTATGTTACCTCTTGCCCTGAAATCTCACCATGTTTTCGCATAACCCTTAGAGAACACAATACAAACTCTTTAATGATGTGGGAAACAAAGGCAGAAGAGGAATTATTAAATTTCCTTACTACCTACAGGCTACTGACAAGTCCGTGAAACAGGTAGAATGACCTTCTTCTAGGGACTCAACTGCTTCCATGTTGACACTTTGCTAAGGGCAAAAGGAATCTGAACCCCCCACCCCCCCCGTGCGCCCCTCCCATCCTGTAAGCCTACTTTAACGTATAAAAATTCCTTTAGAAATTTCCTTTATCTCTACCCCCCCAAGATACCTGTTGGCAATCACCCCCCAAGCATATGGCCCACCGATATACATCTGAAGGGTCTGATGACTAAGGTTTTATTAGACAGTAATAAATGACTTTTCCCAACAATAGCTAGCCCCCTCAAGGTCCTGGAAAACTTGCTTCCAAAATTCCTATCCCTAACCCACTCCCAACTTGAAAGTATACAATGCGCCGCTCCTCATGACCCCAGTGCCGCTCTTTCTGCTCCCTGTGCTTTAATACAACCACCTTTTTGCACCAAAGACGCCTCAAGAATTCTTTCTTGGCCGTCGGCTTCAAACCCTAATGTCTTTCCTACATCATTTAACATATAAAGCATTTCCCACAATCTGGCCTTTGCCATTTTCCTCCAGCTGCAACCCTTTTCCCTTAGTTTATGTTCCAGCAACAACAAAACCTTTGGAAGTTGCTAAGAGAGTGGATCTTAACAGGTCTCACCACCAGAAAAACAAATCCTGTGACTATGGGTGGTGATGTGTGTTAGATAGATTTGCTCTAGTGATCAGTTCGCAATATGTACAAACACTGAATCATTACGTTGTGTGACTGAGGTTAGTCGAATGTTGTATGCCAATGATATCTCACTTCAAGAACATTTGTAACTCCTTGCGCTAATCAGGCTGTATTTTCCCTTCTGTGACTTTGTTTGTGAGAGTCCCTGTGGTCAGGAGGAGGCCAACATTCCCCAGCCAACCTAGTTTATGCTCATCAGTTCTTTGAGGTTCAGTCCAGATGCCCATTCATCCAAGAAGCCTTCCTCTTCAAACCCTTTATTCCTTCTCATCCTTTAACTTATTTCATCATGATCATCAGTCTGTCTCTGTATCTCTCACTAGAAAGTGAGATCCTTAATGGTTGGAATCACATCTTTCTTATCTCTGCGTTTCCAGCATCCAGAACAATTCATGACGTATAATAAATGTCTAAGAATTTCTATTGAATAAATGAAAACTTGCACTCATTACATTAACAGAAAGTTCATGGGGATAGCTGACAAGATTAATCAATTAGTCTTTTTAGTCCTTCACATGAATTTGTGCTGTTTGTGTCCAATCATAACAATGTCAACAATAATATTATTTTTTGAACTTCCATCTTCAGTGATTCTGGACTTGGTTACCTATTACTGAAATAGAAACTTCCTGTCCTACAAACCTGTCGTTGGCACTGATTAAGTCTTAATTTCACTTAAATATCACATTTCCTTGGTACTATAAGCAGCCCAACCCATGCGGGAACTAGTGGTCTTGATTGGTTTTTCTATTTCCCTCTCTGCCTCAGCTTCCCTTTTTGGGTACACATAGAAGGCTAGAGCTGAAAGGGACTGTCATCATTACCTAACACAGTTCCTTATTATACAGTTGGGGAAAATCAGGCCTGGAGAAGTTAAATGGTTGGTCACCACCACACTTCAAGTGTTCAGTCTCATGTGTTCTTTTTTTTTTTTTT